AAATATGGCCAGGAAAAATTATGGGACTGTCCAAGTTTACGTCCAGGACAAGGGAGAGAAACTAGCTGCACTGAAGAAAGAAAAGGGGCAGAGGAGATGAAAATAAAGTTGCTTTTATGGCTACTATCCGTGAGTTGTGCCTGGCACACAAATGAAGGGTAAAGGACTCCTATAAGCCACATGGTAAAGAATACAGATTTGGTACCAAGACCAAAAAGAATTGAGTTTGATACCTGGCTCTGTCACTTCCTAGCTATATGACCTTGGGTAACATTAGCTCCCAGAGTCTGTTGTTTTTTTTTTTTCCTATTATAAAATAGGGTTAGTTAAGCATATTTCACAGGGCTTGAGAGGATTAAATAAAATAAGATTTGGGAAAACACTTAAAAACACATTGATTCCCTTCCATTCTCCCCTTTCTTATAGGATGTTGTGGGGTGGCTGGTGGGCCTGGGTATGCCAGGGAAGGCTTTCTGAAGACGGTTGCTTTTTATACCGTCATCTCTAGAGGACAAAAGAGAAGCAGATTGGCAAGGGGCATCACAGGGTGCTCCAGACAAAAGTAGGAGGAGACTAGGGTTGACAGATAAAATGCAGAATACTCAAATAATGTTTTTAGTATAAAAAATGTTTAGGACCTATTTATACTACAAAATATTCCTTGTTTATCTGAAAGTCAAATTTAACTGAGTGTCTTGTATTTTTATTTGCTAAATTTGTTCACTCTAAATGAGACAGAGTTGGACTGCTCAGCTATAGTGGAGAGAGTGGGCCGAACATCATCCAGTAGGATAAGTCATCCTCGTACTTATTTTTCTAACAGTTTCATAAGGTTCCAGTTAAGAGGAAATGACTTAAGCTGCAGTATCAAGAAATTAAGTTGACCAAATTGAGTCGAAATCCCCTCAAGCCAATTACATACAGAGGAAACAGGTTAGGGAGGCCAGGCCCTTAGGACAACAGCTCCCCAAGAGGTGAGCATCTGTTGATGCTTGGAAGTGGAGGAATGGACGACAATAGAAAGATCTCAGAAAGCACTGGAGGTTTGAGATGCCGCCCAAGTTCTCTCCCAGTTCTTGCACCTTCTCAGGCTCCCTGGGCGCTGGCACTCCTGCTTGTTTAAAGGGGTAGCAAGGGACAAGGCAAAAAAGGTCCCCCAGAAGCAGCCCCTTGTGGGGGAGGTAGGTGCTGCCTGAATGCTGACTGGGCCCTTTGCTTTGTACCCATCCTGCTTATTCCCAAACAACAGAAGTGCTACTCAGCCGCCTGGTCAGCCTCATTATGCTCTTGCCACAAAGTGCTGAGTCCAGGAGCTGTCCTGGCCCCATGACCTCACCCTCCCACATTGGGCCTCATCCTGTGAGGCTCCCTGAGCCAGAGGGAAGGCCAGAGGGTTCAAGCCATCCATAAAATTCTACCAAGCATCTGCTATGCTTGGCATATAGCCCTAGTGCTGAGGAGCCCAAGGTTCGAACTGACCATGTAACATTTGGGGGGTCATCTCGTTCCCCTTAATGTCAGTCATCACCACCAAATCTAATAGCCTATCCCACTAGACAGCCAGTTGCCCAAACTGCTTGTGCAATGAGCGTGTGGACTGAGAACATGGTTTGAAATCCATGTCCCCAGTAGATTAGTGCGCTTTGGAAAATTAGACTGACAGAATACACTGCTAAAATTGAACAAAGAAAAATACTGGAAACAAAGAAAAGCTGAATGAATATGGTCTTTTCCAAATTCAAAGAAAACGTTTTTGATCTGATAATTTTTCTAAAATCTTTGCTGCTTGCTCCCATTTGTCTCTATGAAAACCTGGCAGAAGATGGGTATCTGCTTTGGACAATTAATAATGTAGTTACCATTTATTGAACTCTAACTGAGTACCTAATGATGCTCTAAATGCCTTTATCTACCTTCATCTGACAGCAGTTGGTCAGGTAGATATTATCATCCTACTTTATGCCAGAGAGACAGCGTTGCCCAGAAGAGAGAATATGGGCTTTAAGTCAGATTAGGCATATATTCAAGTTCCTGCTGGGTTTCCTGGCCCAGAATTTGGCCCCTCAAAACCTCGGTTAACTCATCTATAAAATGCATATGATAACGATCTACTTAATGGAGTTGTTGTGAGGATAAAGGAAGCACTGTCTGGTTCATAGTAAATGCTCAGTAAGCTGGAGTTACTGTTAATAGTGGTTGAACAGGAAAGATCAAAACTCAGCTTGGGAAAAGGGATTATAAACTCTCTACATTCCCACTCCTGGAGTGGCTGTGTCTGGACTTTCCTGGGAGGAGATGGTGGTGGAGATTGGAGTTCCAAGGCCAGAATCAACAAAGGGCAGGCGAAGCAACAGTTCCGGACAACGTCAGAGGGGGAATCCTCTAGAACTTGGTTAAAAACCATGTTGCAGTGATATTTAGAAAGAATGATGGTTAGCACTGGACATCTGACAATCCTTCTCCAACTTCCTCAGACTTAAGGTGGGGAAGACAGGCTGGGCTTGCGTACGACTCCAGGAATATTGGATGGATATTGGTGAATTGTTTGCACAATAGCTATGATTTCTCCCCCTCCACACACACAATAGTTTTGTTCACGTGTGTCTGGCTCCTCAATCAAACATTAAAAAAGCCCCACTTTTCTGTAAAAATAAAAAATTGGCTCAGTCAGTCTTTACTGTACTAACTCTTCAGTAGGGTGTAAAGCTCCCAAATTAAAATGCTGAGAGTATATGAAGCACAAGTACAACACAAGCAGCACAGTTATGGGTAGGGCAAGTAAGGACTATACCATGGATACTCTGTGCCTCCAGAGTCACAAAACGCGATCATAGTTTGTCACCCACTTATTCAAAACATTTTTTGAGCTAGGAGTTAAGCTGAAGATATAACGATGAACAAGACAGATGAAGTCCCTGCCTTCACAGAGCATGAAGGCTAATGGAAGAAGCAGATAATTAAACAATCAGATTCTTTATTTAAAAAAAAATAAAAATCACCCAGCATGCTTGATTAAGATGCAGGTTCCAAAACTAATCAAAAACAGACTCACAAATACAGAAGACTATCTGGTGATGGTCAGAGGGGAGGGGATTTGGGGGGTTGGGAGAAAGAAGTGATGGGTTAAAGAAGTACAAATTGTAGTTGATAGCTGTTCACAGGGATGGGGAGCACAGCAGAGGGAATGCAGTTAGCATTAATATGATGGCTAGGAGGAGGGCCAGGGGAGGGAGGGAGCAATTGGGGGGAATCGTTTTATAAACTTTATTTTGATAGAAAATATGTTCACATTGTTCAAAACTTAAAAAGTACAGAAAAATATACAGTGAAAAGTTCTGTTCTATACCTGAGCCCCAAGCACCTCAGTTCCCCTCTGTTGAGCCCAATATTTCCAGTTTCTAAAGTAAGTTCTATAGCATGATTGATGCAATAACTGGGGAAGTACAGGGTTCCATGGGAGCACATTGAGGGAGTACCTAAGGCAGCCCAAGAGTTAGAGAATGAATGAATAAATGAACACATGACCAAGTAACTGTTTCCCTAGGACCCTCATTCTGTGAAGGAAGAGAAGAAAAAGTGAGGAAGAGCCACCAGCCATAACAGCTGATGCCTTAAGCCCTTGCATAGCTACCAGCTGGCCAGAGTCTGCCATGATCATCCCCATGGCAACTCTGTCCCTTGCCAACCATTGATCCAGACATCACCAGTTAATTAAGCAGCAGAAACATTCTGGGGTAGTGCATCGTGCTTAGCATCATATCTGTACATCTGAAAATTTCCACCCAAATCTACAAAATACTTATGTACATACCAGAACTCACCCCCGATTTTTGATTATGAGGAAAGGGGACTCCAATGAATCTTAAGTCATAGGCTGGAGAGATTGGCAGAGGGATTGAGAGAATATCACTGGGAAAAGTTTCTTTCTCTCTCCAAACTGCTATGAGATTTTCTTCAGTATCTGTCACCAGGAAGAGAGTAGGGTAATAAGTAATAATAAACCTACAATGTATCAGACAGATAT